TTGTCCTCCGACGGCATGAACTTGACGTACTTGCCGTCTATCCCTTGGGCGACGAACAGCACGTCCCTGACCAAATCCCGCTCGTGAAGGGACTGGAAGTCGTCCCTCTCCTTGATCCTGAAGTACTTGAGCTTGCGAATCGTGGCCCTCTCGCCGTTCTTGTTCCTCTGGACCCCGGGGTGGTTGAACTCCTCGCCACCAATGACCTTGAAGGGAACCATGGTGTTGCCCCCCGCCGAGGCGGAGGCGCTGGACACCGCGCTCGGATCCGCGCCGTCCAGACCGTTCCAGTGTCGGCTCAACTGGTTCAAGAGCCTGAGGAGGGACCCGTAGCGCTTCAGAACGCCCTTGCGAGAGAGCGTCTCGTGCAGCTCCGCGAACTTGACGCTCAGGGGCAGGCCCGTGGCCTCGTCCCTCTTCCCCGTCCTCACCAGCTGCCTCTGCACGCTGGCCGCGATGCTGGCCTCCATGCCGAAGCTGTCGAGGGACGAGCTCGACGCCTGCATCACCGCCCCGTTCTCCCCCTCGTTCTCCCTCACGATGATCCCCACCGAGCGGGAGAGCGCTCCACTCACTTTTTGAGGGTTCGTGGCGTGCGCCTTCGTGCACAACTTCCCCAGCAGGGCCACCGTCCTCTCGTCCCTCGCGCTCGCCCCTTGGTTCTCCTCATACCTCGCCCCCGCCACCGTCGTCGACACCCCACCAACCATCCTCCCTTCCTCCCTTCTCCTCCCTCCTGCCTCCATCCCTTCCCGCCTTCCCGCTGCTCCTGACGATCGAGAATTCATTTCAATTTTCCTTCCTCCCCTTGGCGCGAAGGCCAGGCCTGAGTGGAAGCGCTCTTCGACTTTATCCAGAGGAGGAGGACCAGCGAGAAGGACCAGGACAAGGTGGGTTGGGTTGGGTTGGGTTGGGTTGGGTTGGGGAGGGCGAAGGCGTGGGTCACGGATCGAACCGCCGCCTCTCGATCTTTCCAAAGAGCCTTCGCTTGCGAGGAACGACGACAGGGGGAAGGGTTTGAGAGCTGAAACAAACAGCTCTGTTCCTTTTGGAGCGGGAGCAGCAGGGGAGGCTGGGGGGCAAGGCTTTCGAGAGCGATGGAGGAGGTCAAGGCAAAGCTTGGGACGCTGATCAGCGAGAAGAAGCGGAGCGCGCGGCCGGACAACGGTGCTAGCTGGGAGCAAGCCTTTCGATCGACGTTCGACTGCCTCGACCGGTTGGGCATCGGGAACGACCAGGTGTCCGAAAGACTCAGGGTTATCCACATTGCTGGGACAAAGGTAGGGCGAAGGACGTCGCTCGCCGCGAGGGGACCGCCGTGTTCTCGCGTTCTCCTTCCACCGATGAGCACAGCCTTCGAGATCGCGTCCGCAACTGGCGCCCGACTTTCGCTGACACCCCACCACTCTCCTCCTCTCGGGCCTCTTGCTGTTCTTTGAATGAAAACTTCTTCTTCTTCTTCTTCTTCTTCTTCTGCTCGAAACTTCAGGGCAAAGGCAGCACAAGCGCGTTCTGCGAGTCGATCCTGAGGCACGCGGGCTGCAAGAAGACCGGGCTCTTCACTTCCCCCCACTTGGTCAATATCAACGAGCGGATCAGGTTGGACGGGAAGTCGATCTCGGACGAGAAGTTCTGCGAGTATTTTTGGCAGGTGTGGAACAGGCTGGAGGAGACGTGCACCCCGGAGCAGGGGATGCCGGCCTACTTTCGATTCATCACGCTGATGGGCTACTACGTCTTCATCAAGGAGGAGGTGGACGTGGCGGTCGTTGAGGTGGGCCTCGGGGGGAGGATAGACTCCACGAACGTGGTGAACCGGCCCGTGGTCTGCGGCATCGCTTCACTTGGCTTCGACCACACGGACCTTCTCGGGGACACCCTGGCGAAGATAGCGAGGGAGAAGGCGGGAATCTTCAAGAAGGGGGTTCCGGCCTTCACCGTTGGGCAGGAGGAGGAGGCCATGGAGTCCCTCCGAGACTGCGCCTCGGAGAGGGGGGTCGAGTTTCTGAAGCAGAGCGGGAGCGTGGGGGACTATTGCCTGCCGGAGGGGTCCGACCAGGTGAGGCTGGGGATTCCGGGGGACCACCAAGCGGCCAACGCCGGTCTGGCGGTTAGCCTGTGCCAGACGTTCCAGGAGAGGGTGGACCTGAAGCTGTCCCCGGTGGTGAGCCAAGGGGCTCTGACGCTGGACTGCCTCAAGGGCCTGGAGCTCTGCAGGTGGCCGGGAAGGGGGCAGATCGAGAAGGACAACCCCGGGGACGGCGGGGCGGAGAACATCACGTTCTACCTTGACGGCGCTCACACTCCGGAAAGCATGCTTTGCTGCTCCAAGTGGTACCAAGGGGCCACGAAGTTGGCTCTGGAGGCCTCCTCCCCGAGTAGCGGCGAGAGGTGGCTCATGTTCAACTGCATGAGGGACAGGGACCCGAACGTGCTGTTCGAGCCCCTGCAGACGAATCACGGGGGAGACGGCGCCACCGGGGGGGCGCACACCATGGGCTTTGACAGGTCCTTCTTCGTCCCGTTCGTCTCCTCGACGACCAGCTTGAAGGGCGACAACCAGAGCGACCACAAGTGGGAGAATGGCTTGAGGGGAATCTGGGACAAAATGCTGGGGAGGGCGGCGGGGGGCAAGGGCTCCGGAGGGAGGGAGGCCCTGGGCAGAAGCTCCCCCGACTCGAGTGGGGCGACGGGCGGGTCGTCGTCGTCGTCGTCGTCGTCCTCCGTGTGCTCGGTCCAAGCGGCGCTGTCAACCCTCAGGACTTACGCGAGGCAGAACAACACCAAGCAGATCCACGTGCTGGTCACGGGCTCCCTGTACCTCGTGGGAGACTTTCTGCGCATCCTGAAGAGAGTTCCTTGAAAGATACATATATAATATATTGTTGTACATATGCAAATCTTCTTCACTTGAAAGAAGTTTTGTCCTTGTTGTTGTTGGTACACAGTGAAAAAAATGCCCCGATGCCGGGGTTGCTGCTGTTGTACACGGCGCGCGCGTCACCTCGACAGGTCCTTCTTCTTGTTCCTTTCCCTGTAGCCCGCCACGGAGTAGGCGATGCCTCCCACCAAACCAATCGCCACCCCGGCCACATTCTTGGTGTCCCACACGTAGTCCTGGAAGAGAAAGAGGCCCAGGGCCGTGGTGATGACCTCCTTTACGATTCCCGTGATGTTGGTCGTCAAGGGGGAGTTGATGGTCGTGCAGCGAAAGATGCAGAGGTTCAACAGGAACCCCTGGGACACGGAGAGGAGGTAGAACAGCTGGAACCTCACGTCCCCGAGCCTCGGGTAGGACGCGACGTCCTGGAACTCCCTGGTGAAGAAGCAGAGGTAGACGAGCATCACTGGGAGGGAGAGCAGGTTGTTGTAGTAGAGGAGCGTGGTGTCGCTCACCCTGAGCTCGAACCTGAGCTTCCTGATCAGCAGGAGGTAGAGCGCCGTGCTGGCGCAGCAGATGGAGATGTAAAAGTAGCCCCAGAAGTTGTAGCTCAGGTCGTTGGACACGCCCACGAGCCCGCCCGCCAGCATGATCATGATCGACCCGGCCGCCTCCTTGGAGACCACCTTGCCGAACATGTGGAACTCCCCCAGGACCACGCACAGGGTCGTGGCCCTCCGCAGGAGTCCGAACATCGGGACCGTCAGAAACCGCAGGGCGGTCACCCCGGAGAGGACGTAGACCCACCACGCCACCGTCAGGGGAAAGAGCTTTCGTTTTTTTTGTTTCGTTGTCGTCGTCGTCGTCGTTGTTGTTGTTGTTGTTGGATGGGGAGGAAAGCGGAAGAGGGATGGGGAGCGCGCGTCGTCAGCAAGATCCGATCTTTGTGTTCGATTCTCAACTCTCTCGGCGGTGGGAGCCGTTTGAAATGGGCCGAGATCGACGACGGCCGTCGACGACTTCGTCGGGGGCACCCACCTTCCGCAGCCCCGCCCTCGAGATCCGGGACACCTCCACGACCTCGTAGGAGGACGCCGCCTTGATGAGGGACAGGGTGACCACCATCTGGCCCAACATGACCAGGTTGGGGAACTTGAAGTCGTAGATGGAGAACACCGCCTTGTTGAAAAGCGTGATGGATATGGAGACCCCGCCGTAGGCCACGCAAGCCAGGGCCTGCTGCATCACGGTGTGCTTCGGGATCAGCCCGCTCATCTTGCGTTGAGTGGAAGGCCGACCTCGAGCGCAGGAGCGAGCGAGCGAGCGAGCGATCGATCGAGGAGATCCGTCCTCAAAACCAGAAGACATTGTTTCTCAGGAATCGTCTTTTCTTAACGAAACGTTTCGTTAAACCAAACCAAAACCAAAAAAAAAAGGTTGGCCCGTGGGGAGGTGAGAGAAGAGGTGCAATTCATTCTCCCCCGGTCCCGAATCATTGAACGAGCAATTCGACACCGTAGTAACGCGGTGGTGGGACCGGACCGTCAACCCAAGCCCGAGGGAGGAGGAGAGAAGAAGCGCGAGCGAGCGAGCGGTGTTTTTTGGTTCGGTGGGCTCGACAGCAAGCGGATAGCTACACCGTCCCCGTCACCGAGGAGCGGAAACTTCGTTGCTAAAACCGCTCAACCGGCTCGTGGCGCGCGGGCCACGCGGGGTTCCCCCCTCGGTGCGAGGGGGGGCCGCCTCGGGGGCGAGGCATTTCGCGGGATACTGTTAGGTTTAGGCATGGTCAGGGGCCGCGGGTCGGGGTCCCTTCCCCGGGGTCCGGCAACAAATCCAGCGCCCGCGAACCGAGACCGCGGAGCCGGCAGGACATGTGGTCTCAAACGCAGCATGGAGCGCTGGCCCGCCGAGCGGGCCCGCTCGCCGGCTCCCTCGGTTCCCGGGGGGAGGAGGAACGAATTCACGAATTCACGAGTAGATTCCCCCTCCCCCGGGCTGGGCGCGTTGTGCCGGTGGGTGACCCCATGTGGGGACTCCAGGGTTCGCGTGGGTGCCCCCGCTCGCTCGCGGTTCCACTCCCCAAACCTCTCCTCCCTCTACTAAAAAAAAAGGGAGACGCGAGTCAGGCGGAGTCGAACCGCTCGGCCTCGCGGCCGCCACGGATTTGAAGTCCGCGCCCTGGCCGCCAGGGGTCAGTCCCGCACGAGTAGATTTCCCGCGTTGGGGTCGAGCGGCATTTCCGAAATTTCGGCATTTGGGGGGTTATATATATTTTTCCTTTTTTCCTTTGGGGCGTTATTTTTGTTTCCGGGAGGGAGTGCGAGGCGCGGACCCCTCGGGCCCCCGCCATCGATGGCGCCTCCCGGAGCCCGGACGGGGACGGTGTACCAGCCGACCCTGGTCCCCCGGGACGAGAGGGCGGCCAAGTCGTTCGGCTTCGACCCTTGGGACCTCGACCCGACGGAGGCGTTCTTCCTGTCGTCGTGGCGGCCCGTGGGAAGCGGCCCGATCGAGGTCCGGTCCCCATCGTCGTCGTCGTCGTTGCCGCCGCGCTCTCGGTCGCTCTCGATCGATCTGGACGGGCAGGGGTACTGCCGGGCGAGGAACATGGTCCTCCGGGCGTGGGAGCAGGTGAAGGGGACGGGGAGGTTCCTGTGCAGGGCGGAGATCGCGGCGGCGGCGAGGCTCGCGGACCTCGAGGCTCGCCCGGACCTCGTGGACGCCGCGTGGTCGTACCTGACGACGTTCGGGCACGTGAACTACGGGGTGAGCGGGGAGATGAGGGTGGGGCCGGACCCGGCCGCCGACGCCGACGCGGCGGCGACGACGACGAGCGTGGTGGTGGTGGGCGCGGGGCTGGCCGGCCTGGCCTGCGCGAGGCAGCTCTCGTCCCTCGGGCACACCGTGCTCGTGGTGGAGGGGAGAAACAGGCCGGGGGGGAGGGTCCACACCAAGACCCTCGCGGGCGACGGCGGCGGCGGCGGGGCCGCCGTCGTCGGCAAGGCGGAGCTCGGGGGGAGCGTCCTGTACGGGGGGGAGCACAACCCGCTGGTCGCGGTGGTGGACCAGCTGGGGGTGGAGCGGGAGGTCCTGGTGGCCAGCCAGCCCCCGATGTACGACGGGGAGGGGCGAAGGGTCGGCCGGGAGGCGGACGACGAGGCCCACCGGGTGTTCCACGGGATCGACAGGGAGACGCGGGCCAGGGGGAGGGGGAACGGGGGCCCGTTCCCCTCGATCTCGCCCCCGCCGTCCAAGCCGCTGTCCTACGGCGAGACGTTCCGGGGGCTGCACAGGGACTGGAGGGCGGCCCGCGACGACGACGACGCGGGCGCCGAGAAAATGGACAGGCTCATCAACTGGCACGTGGCCCACCTCGAGTTCGCCCACGCCCAGGTCTTCGACGAGCTGTGCCTGGTCCACTCGGAGCAGGACGAGGAGCAAAACCTGACGGGGACGCACCACCTGGTTCACGGGGGCAACGTCACCTTCGTGGCCGAGCTCGCCAAGGGCCTTCCGGTCCTCTACGGCCACAAGGTGACGGAGGTGGAGTACGGCCGCCGCGACGGGGGCGTGACCGTGGCCGCGGAGAAGGGGGGGGAGACGAGGAGGTTCAGGGCCCAGGCCTGCGTGGTGACCGTGCCGGTGGGGGTCCTCAAGCGGGGGCACATCAAGTTCAAGCCGCCCCTGCCGCCCAGGAAGAGGGAAGCCATCCAGGCCATCGGCTTCGGGGCCATAAACAAATGCGTCCTTGTCTTTCCCTACAGGTTCTGGCCGTCTGATCACGACACCTTCTGCTTCGCGAACAACGGGGACGAGGAGGCGGATCGGGGGAGCCACTTCCTGTACCACTCGTACGAGCACGTGGCGGGGGCGCCCGTGCTGGTCGCCCTGTCCTCCGGGGAGGCCGCGAGGAGCTTCGAGGGGAAGGGCAAGGAAGAGATCAAGGACGAGATGATGGCGCGGCTCAGGCTGATGTTCGGCAACGTGCCCGATCCCGTGGCTTGCGAGGCCACGGACTGGGGGAGGGACGAGTTCGCCTTTGGGAGCTACTCGAACATCGTCGTGGGCTCCAAGGGGGAAACCTGCGACGTGCTGGCGGAGGACGTCTGCCAGAGGGTCTTCTTCGCGGGGGAGGCGACCATCAAGGAGAACATCGCCACGATGCACGGGGCGTTCAGGTCGGGCATGAGGACCGCGGGCATGCTTCACACCCTGTGCCGCAGGGGGGACTTTAGCAGGAGGGCTCCTTCCTCGGACCGCGGCGAGGCGAGGGACAATGGCCCGGGAAAGGTGGAGAAGTACTTCTCGAGCCCCCGCCTCTTCTTCGGCCGCTTCACGGTTGGGGAGGAGCGCGGGGGCAAGGCTCTCGTGCGGGAAAAACCAGACCCGGCCGCGGGACGCCCAGCCTCTCAGTGCTTTCTGGCACCGCACGCAGTCATCACCCAACTCCTTTGCCTCCGCAGTGACGAGGAGAGGCTCGACTACCTCTCGGACCAAAGCTCCCTCGTGACCCAGGGGCCCGGCGATGGCAAGGGCCTCCCCTCCGCCATAATCGACTTCCTCGATAGAGGAGCGCAGTAACATCCTCCCGTTGTGTGTGTACAGTACTTCAGTTATCCTTGTATACGATTCTATTCATAGGTTTAGACACAAATGCCAAGATCGGTCTGATGAACGATGACGACGCGTCAAGTCAGCAACCGAGCGCAAAACAAAACTCGCTCCCTCCAAGTCGTCGTCTTACCAGGCGGGCAGTTCTCGTCTGGCCCAAAGATAACATCAATGATGGAACAGCAAAGGCACCAGGACGTTTGTTTCTTTCTGAAAAAAGGAAGAAGAAAGAAAAGAAAAAAGGAAGGAGGAAATTTCCTCCTTTTGACCATTTTCAAGCTTGGTTTGGCGGAAGAGGAGAGAGGGAGGGAGAGGGAGAGACGGCCTTGGTCGACCTTGGAGCGCGTCAGCGACGGCAACGAGGGCGGAAGCGGCAAGAGAGACCACTGGGGGGAAGCAGGGGAAAGCCTCCCTTTAGAGAGAGAGAGAGAGAGAGAGGGGGGGGGGAAAGGCCGAGACCTTGGGAGTCGGCTTGACGTGGTTTCTGTGTGAAGTCCTACCCGGTCCTCTCGAAGGCAAAGTGGAAAGGAGACGTCTTTGCAGAAGGAAGAGAGCGCAATGTCGAACATAACTTTCGACTTGTCGTGGCGAGAGGCGGTCTTGGAGGTCCTGGAGGTCCTGGAGACGGAGAATCCAGAGGACCCGGACCTCGCGCCCAAGGACCTCACCGACTGGAGCAGCATCTACATTAAGTACGTCCAGATATTCTCCAAGTTGCAGGACGCCTACGACCAGATGGTCCATCCTCAGAAGCGCCTCGACATAAAGAGGGCTCTCGAGGCCTGCCTGGGAAGGATGCTCGAAATTCGAGACTGGCTGACGACCTTGAATGACAAGGTGGACCTGGTCAGCTTTGACAGCATCTTGGTTGACTTGAAGCTGACGCCCCTGAGCGTGGAGATACCCATCCCGAGGTACTTTGTGTCCGAGAGGGAGAAGGAGCTCAGGGAGAGGAAGAAGTTCATGAACGCTCTTCTCGATAAGTACAATGTCGACGCGACGACGGACTCGAACGGCAACAAGCTTATTCCCTTCCCGGAGGAGGAGGCCATTAAAATCATTCAGGCGAACGAGCGCGGTCGCCAGGGACGACAGAAGACAAAGCTGGTGGAGAAGCTGAAGAGGCAGCAAGCCTTTGACACGGAGATGCAGGTTAGCGGCCGCATTATAGCGCCGAACGAGGCTGCCATCAAGATTCAGTCCGTGGTTCGGGCTCACATCACGAGGAAGAAGGTCAAGCTGATGGAAGAGGAGGAACTCATATTCATCGGAATGAAGCCGAAGCCAAGGGACGAGAACGACAACCCGATCACCAAGCAGGCGAAGAACCTCGATCGTAGAAGGATCATGCAGGGAGAGAACCGCGATGAGTACGAGAAGGCTCTTATTGCTCTCAAGGAAAGGATCTTCGAGACGGAAGGCCCTGATATGAAGGAGGAGATTCAGGACAAGATCAACCAGTGGTTCGTGGAGACCAGGAACCCTGAGAACGGAGAGTACAACAGCCTTCCCGAGGAGGAAGATGGAGGCTCGAAAATGATTTTGACTGAAGCTGAGATGGAGCCGGACGAGCCCGCGGAGGAGGCAGGCAAAGCCGACAAGGATGCAAAGGACAAGGACTCGAAGGATAAGAAGGGTGACAAGAAGGGGGACAAGGGCGATGACAAAGGGGAGGAGGAGCAGGAGGAGCAGAACGAGCACAAGGCCCCAGAGTCCAAATTCATCACCGACATAGAGACCAGCGTCAAGAGTTACAGCGGCAAGTGGCAGGAAAGAGATGAGAGCAACAACTTTTTCCAAAAGTATGACGCTGAGATGGTCAAGGACGAGCTCCGCCCCGTCGTTTACGACGAAGTTCGAGTAGAAGTGGACAAGGACATGAGGGTTCTCCTTGAGAACCTCAGAGAGATGGTGGAGGCAGAGAAGGCGGCAAGGAGCGGAAAGAAGGGGAAGAAGGGGAAGAAGGGGAAGAAGGATAAGAAAAAGAAGGGGAAAGGAAAGAAAGACAAGAAGGGGAAGAAGGGAAAAGGAAAGAAGGATCTCACTGCGGACAGGAGCTTGGAGTCCCTGTATGCCGAACTTGTTGAGCAGGGCATCTGTCGCCCATATGACACAAAAAACGTGAAGGAGTACATCGGAGAATTCAACTTCTTGGGTTCTGCCCTGAAGCAGACTGACGAGATCATCAGGCCCTCCATCGGGCAAACTAGGGAGCTCGTGAAGGAGCTCTGCATCCTGCCCCTGGGAAGCGAATATCTTCACGAAAGGTCGCCATTCTGCAAGGCAGTGCTTTTCTACGGAGTGAAGGACTCAGGAAAGTCGCTCCTGACGAACATTGTCGCAACGTCTGTTGGAGCCAACATCTTCAACATCAGTCCGAGGAATACGGACGGGAAGTACAAGGGCAAGGAGTCTCAACTGATGATTCACATGGTCTTCAAGGTCGCGAGAGCGATGGCCCCGTCAGTGATTCTGATCGAAGAGGCCGAGAAGGTCTTCTGCTCTGATAAAAAGAAGCAGAAGGAGTACCTTGGGGATGCCGAGGAAAAGTTTGATAGGATCAAAAAAGACCTGCTCAAGGAAATGAAGAC